ACTTAAGGAGGTCTCCAGACTTGAACTGAGAACCTTCCTATATGGAATTGCTTCACAGAACCATCACATTTTACTGCTATGCCATTATCTGTTGCCTATTTGTTATTATTATTATTTTAGTGTTTTGTTTGTTTTTGCCATAGGGCATTTGTGCTTGCCAGAATCAGACAGAGAAGTAAAGTGAGAAATCACCCTCCAGAGAATATGGCCTTGCCACAATTCCTTCCCCTCCATTCTCTTGTCGGGATTTTGGGCACGTACATACACACGCCCATCATAGTTTCCAGGCTGTTGGGACTAAGACTCGAACCGTGGAGTTGGCCATATGGGAGCCAACATCTTAACCACCATAGAAGCTGGTGGCACCCCTCTTTATTTTATGTATGTATGTATGTAATGTGTAATGTATGTATGTATGTATGTATGTTGCTTTTTTTTTTTTGGAGAGGTTTTTGCTATAGGGCGCGTGCGCTCTCCAGAAAGACAGAGAGAGACAGAGAGACAGAAAGTGAGAAATCACCCCCCAGGGGGGATGGCCATGCCACAATCCCTTCTCCTCCATTCTCCTCTCGGGATCTTGGGCACACACGCACATGTGCTTGGCATGAGTTTAAGCCACCAGGTCCGGGACTTGAACAGCAGTCGACTACGTGGGAGTCCAGCAACATAGCCATTATGCTAACTACTGGTCCCTATTTATTTATTTTTAGAGAGATTTTTGCCTCAGGGTGCAGGTGCTTGCTGGAGACACAGAAAGTAAGGAGTCACCCTCCAACCCCGGGGGCTGGCCAATCCCATCTCCTTTCTCCTCTCAGGGTTTTGGGCATGCACCCACATGTGCACAGTGTGTTCCAAGTCACTGAATCCAAGACTCAAACCACAGTCGACCTTGAGGGTATCCAGCACCACAACCGCTATGCCACCTGTTGGTCCCTCCCCTTTATATTTTTAAGGCAACTCGTATTTACTTTGTGTGATCTTTTTTGGTTGTCTTTTGCCAATATTTCTATGAGATTTTGCATTTCTATCGATGGAAGAGCTTTAGGCATATAAGGACATTAGCTCTTTACCTGTGATCCCGTAACAGAAACATATTAGGTTGGTGGCAAAGTCATGATGTATTTTTCTGTGCAAAACTGTGTGATGACTTTCCCAACAACACAGTATTTTCTCAGCGAGTTGCTTTTCTTATGATTTTGGTTTTTGCTCTACTGAATTAATCTATTTTTCTGAGCTTATGTCCTGTAAATCTTTTTTTTTTTTTTGGACAAGTTTTTGCTATAGGGTGCTTGGGCTCACCAGAGACAGAGAGACAGAAAGTGAGAAATCACCCCCCAGGGGGGATGGCCACACCACAATCCCTTCTCCTCCATTCTCCTCTCGGGATCTTGGGCATGCACGCACACGCGCCCGGTGTGAGTTTTAAGTCACCGGGTCCGGGACACGAACCGCGGTTGACTACATGGGAGTACAGCTACATAGCTATTATGCTAACTGCTGGTCCCCTTGTCCTGTAAATCTTTTACTTCATGGCTTCTAGATTTTGTGTCATGCTTCAAAAGGCCTTCTACTCCAAGGTTTTAAAAACTATTTCCCATCTTTTTTTCTATTACTCTAATGTTTTTAAAAATGGGGACCAACAGGTGTCGTGATGGTTAAAGCACTGAACACTCCCACATAGCCAATCATGATTCGAGTCCTGGACCTGATGGCTTTCTTTCTCACTCTCTCTCTCTGTGTCTCTCTCTCTCTAGTCAAATAAAAATAAATGAATGCATAAGTAAAATTAAATAAGTACTTCTTTTTAAAAAATGCAGCTATTTTTGGTCCATCTGAGATTTACTTTTATGTAAGAGATAGAATAAGGATCCAACGTATTTCCCCCTAAATGGCTCCTCCATTGTACTTGAAATTTTTTTTAAAACTTTTTAAAAATTATTTTATTTAACTGCATTTATTTATTTATTTAAATTTGACCAGAGAGGGACAGAATGAAAGAGAGAGAGGGAAAGTGAGAAAGCATGCTGCCAGGCCCAGGACTTGAAAAGCAGTCAGCCAGGACCAGCAGGTGGTGTGGTGAAGGCACTGGACACTCCCACATGGCTGACCACGGTTTGAGTCCTGGACCTGGTGGCTTGCTTTCTCACTATTCTCTTTCTCTTTCTGTGCTCCTCTCTGGTCAAATTAAAATAAATGAATGAATCAATTAAAAAAATAAAAGAAAATCAGTCAGCCATGTGGGTGTCTAGCACCCTTAACTGCTGGCCCCCATGTACTTGTAACTTTTAAAATAATTATTTAATTTTGTTTATTATTATTATTATTATTGTTTAATTTCACCAGAGAAAAAAGTCAGAAAGAGAGAGAGAGAGAGAAAGTGAGAAAGCAAAAAGCTGCCAGGTCCAGGACTCAAACCTTGGTTGGCCCTGTGGGAGTCCAACACCATGCTACCTGCTGGCCCCTAGATTGTAATAGTCTGTCTTCTCCCAGGCCAGCAGGTGATGTGTTGGCGAAGGTGCTGGATCCCACCTGGTTTACTTAGTGGTTCAAATTCTAGACCCAAAGGCTTGAAAAAATCACCTCGGGCACATGTTTATGTGTCCCCCAAATCCCAAGAATGAAGGAGAAGGCATTGCAGTGTGGCCATCCCCCCAGGGAGTGATTTCTCACTTTCCCTTTCTGTTTCTCTCTGTCTCACCCATAAGCACACATACTCTATGGCAAAAATCTAATTAAAAACAGAAACAGGGACCAGCAGTTAGCGTAATGGCTATGTCACTGGACTCCCACGTAGTTGACCGCGGTTCGCGTCCCAGACCCGGTGGCTTAAAACTCACGCTGGGCATGTTTGCGTGCGTGCCCAAGATCCCAAGAGAAAAACTGAGGAGAAGGGATTGTGGCATGGCCATACCCCCTGGGGGTGATTTCTTGCTTTCTGTCTCTCTGTCTCTCTCTGTCTTTCTGAGCGCACGGGCCCTATAGCAAAAAAAAAAACCCCCCCCAAAAAAAAAAAAAACCAGAAAAAAGCTATCCTCCTCCCCCCAGGGAATCTATTTTTAGAGTCTGAAAAAATACTTACAATGTGAAAAAAAAGAAAATAAAGTATACATTTTGAAAAGTGGACAATTATCACACATATCAAAATCCAGAAAATGGAGGCGAAAGGATTGCAATATGGCCATCGCCTCTGGGGCATGACTTCTGACTTTCCCGCTCTCTCTCTTTCTGTGTCTCTCTCTGGTAAGTGCATGCATGCTATAGCAAAAACTAAAACCAAAAAGAGTCCCATCACCCCCATAGATTCTCTCTTGCCTTATTCTCTTAAACTCTCCCCCAACCTCAACCCCTGGCACCCACTGCTCTGTTTTCCACCCTACCTCCCCACCCAGAATTTCTGACTTTGTCTATTGAGGTGATTCTGATCTGCATCAGATGGAACTATCACCTGAGGACATTGTGTCTTAACTGGCAGGAGCTACTCTGCACCCTTGGAATAGAGGCTGAGAGCTGTGAGCAGCCGGAGGCCTCAGACAAGTAATAACAGCCAACATCTCCTGAGCGCTTACTGCAGGGCAGGTACACCCCAGCACATTCCACGCCTTATCTCCGCCCCACACCTTAGAGCAGTTCCACCAAGTCACTCTATCATACCCATTTTACAAATAAGGGGACCCAAACCACACAGCCAGGAAGCGGAGCCAGGATCTGGACCCACTAATTGCAGTGCCCATGCTATATTGCCTGCCCCCACCTCCACAGTCTGACAGTCACCCGCGTTGGCTCTCACATCTTCAGAAGATTCCCTTTTTTTTAGAGGTTTTTGCCACAGTGCACAGACTTGCGGGGGGTGGGGGAGAAGAAACTGACTTAGATAGTGAGAGGGAAAGTGAGAAATCACTCCTCTCAGGCCCCTCTGGAGATGGCCACACCACAATCCCTTCTCCTCCTGGGATCTTGGGCCTGTGTGCACATGAACCCAGCGTGATTTCAAGCTATCAGGTTTGGAATTCAAACCACTGTTGGCCATGTGGGAATCTAGCGACATAATCACTACGTCATCTGCTGGCTGCCAAAAGATTCTCTTAATACGGCAGAATGCAGAGACAGCCCAGCTGCTGAGATGCGCAGGATGGAGGCCTGGGCTAGGGCAGCGGGGCCAACTTCCGCCTGCTTCTGTCCACTGATGACTTCTTTCCTCCTCTGCGCTGGACAGAGCCTCCTCTGTTTCTCTCCATCTGACCTCCTGTCTCCTCTGGCTCTGGGGTACCTGCTCCTCTGACCACCTCTTCTTAAGCTCCCACCTCTTCTCTCTCTCACTTCAGCTTGGTAAGAACAAGGGTTCTGGGGTCTGGGCAGAGGGAAACATGTCCTGGTGAATGGCCCTGTGAGGGGTGGGTCCCACCACCCTCCTCCTTCTCCTGGAAGAGGCCTATAGAGGGTTTTGGGGACACCCGTAAAGGTAAATCCACCTGGGGTTCTCACCCATAGTTACTACCACCCCTAGCAGGGATTTGGAAAGACTCAAATGATAGCGTACATGCAGAACGGTACACAGCTCATGTAAGCTTGATTTCCACAAGGTGGACATACTTGTATAAGTGGTACCAGGTCAAGACATAGAATAAATATTACCAGCATCCCATGGAACCAGAATCAGGTCAAGAAATAGAACATTCCCAGCATCCCGGAAGTTCCCCTTCAGGCCCACTTCTAGTCACCACACCCGGAAGGATACAGTGGCATTTTTCCGTTTTCACAATGACCTAAGAGCTCTATTGGTATTTAGTGGGCAGGGTATAGGGATGCTAAATGTCCTGTAGTGTGGGGGACAGTCCCACAGCACAGACCGTTGTCCTGCCCAATGCCCTGTTGAGAAACACTGGATTTGATAGATCCAAGCAGCAGTGGCCTGTGATGTGGCAAAGGCCCGGGGGTAGGGGCTGTGTCTGTGGGCCAGAGCGAGGAAGAATCTTAAATGTGTCACACTGTCACCACCCTAGGCCTCCGAAATGCCCCCCGCTGCTGGGCAGTGATCCAGCCCCTGCTGTGTGCCGTGTACATGCCCAAGTGTGAGAATGACCGGGTGGAGCTGCCCAGCCGCACCCTCTGCCAGGCCACCCGAGGTCCCTGTGCCATCGTGGAGAGGGAGCGGGGCTGGCCCGACTTCCTGCGCTGCACGCCCGACCACTTCCCTGAAGGCTGCCCGGTGAGTGCTCCGTGGGGCAGAGGCCAGGCTCTTGGGCCTGGGTGAGACCAGACACAGGGAAAGGTTTAGAGGGATCTGGGGAGCCCTGAGCTTACTCTTCTGAGAGACCCTAAATCTATAGCCATGAGGTTCAACTGGCCATCAACCCAAACTGCAGCTCATTGACTGGACCAGTCAGTCTGTCAGGGACTCTTTATCAGAGAACGTGTTCAGCACATACATATTTTTTTCTTTTCTTTTTGGAGAGGTGTTTTTTTTTTTTTTTTTTTGCTATAGGGCGCGTGCATTCGCCAGACAGACAGAGAGAGACAGAAAGCAAGAAATCACCCCCCAGGGGGGATGGCCACGCTGCAATACCTTCTCCTCCATTCTCTCAGGATCTTGGGCATGCACGCACACGCACCCGGCGTGAGTTTTAAGCCACCGGGTCCGGGACTCGAACCGCAGTTGACTACATGGGAGTCCGGAGACATAGCCATTACACCAACTGCTGGTCCCTTCAGCACATATTTTGTGAGCGCCTACTTTGCTGGGTATTGGAATGTTATGGGAGTCATGGGCGCCAGGAGCTTGTGCTCAGGAAGCTCACCGTATTTGCAGGGATTCAAAGCAGGAGCATGTGAAACAGCTGCAGACACACACGAGGGACGTGCTGTAGTTCTGGGTGGTGAAGGAGAGCTCTTAGGTGATGTTAATAACAGAAATAATGACCGTAGTACTCATTATTTTATTTGTCTATTTTTTCAGTTTTTTGCCATAGGGTATGTGCAGTCACCAGAGAGAGACAGGTAGAGCCAGAGGAAGGGAAAGTGAGAAATCATCCCTGGGGGTAGAGTGGCCATGCCACAAGTTCTTCTCCGGGATTTTGGGCATGCATATATATGCACCCAGCATGACTTTCAGGCTACTGTATCTGGGACTCGTACCACGGAGTCTGCCATGTGGGATCGAACACCTTAACCTCTACACCACCTGCTGGCCCAGTAGCTATATTAGTCATTATGCCAAATACTTCATAAGCATTTTACATTTATGTATTCATTTAACCCTTAAATCATACCTTGTATGATTTTAGAGGAAGAAACAGGTACACAGGGGTCGAGTAATTTGCCCAAGGCTGTACAGCATTAGGGGCAAGGCTAGGGTGCAACTCCTGTAAGTGTGTCTCTAACCAGCACATCATACCACCTTGTACCTTTGACTAAATGAGAGCCTCGCCCTATCTCGCCACTCCCCCGACTGTCATCTCCCCTTCCCCGTGTCAGAATGAGGTGCAGAACATCAAGTTCAACAGCTCGGGCCAGTGTGAGGCACCCTTGGTTCGGACTGACAACCCCAAGAGCTGGTACGAGGACGTGGAGGGATGTGGGATCCAGTGCCAGAACCCGCTCTTCACAGAAGCGGAGCACCAGGACATGCACAGCTACATCGCCACCTTCGGGGCCGTCACGGGCCTCTGCACGCTCTTCACTCTGGTCAGTGTGGAGTGCCCGGCACCCTCTGCCTGGGGAGCAGGAAGGGAGCCAGCTGGTCAGCGTGCATGCTCTGGAGTGGGAAGGGAGCGAGGAGAAGAGAACTCAGTTGGGGTCCCCAGGGAAGAGGCATGATCGGAAAGGGTGGGGTTCAGAGAAGGGTGTCTGCAGTAACATAACCCCCTTAACCTCACAGCCCGGGCCCCCTTTTCTCTTCCAGGCCACCTTTGTGGCTGACTGGCGGAACTCGAATCGGTACCCCGCAGTTATTCTCTTCTACGTCAATGCATGTTTCTTTGTGGGCAGCATTGGCTGGCTGGCCCAGTTCATGGTGGGAGCCCGCCGGGAGATCGTCTGCCGTGCAGATGGGACCATGAGGCTCGGGGAGCCCACGTAGGTGACTTGGGGACCCAGACCTGAGGGTGGGGGATGAAGGCTGACATGTGCATTACCTCACGAGGAAAGGAAAGGTGAGATTTGAAAATGGCATTCCAGAGTAGGATTCAGCTCTGTCCTCTCACCCCCAAGGTCTCCAGCATTAGTGCTTTGGTTTCAGATCAAGACCTTGATAGTTTGCATCTGTTCAAGGGACTTCTTCCGTAGAGCCCTTTCAGATCTGACCTGGGTCCCGAATCTTGGGGAACCTGCAGACCTTAGCACCCCAAGGTCTGGGGCGGAGTGGAGAAACCTGGTAGAGGGAGTACAGAGTGACCTCCCTGTGTAACATGTCTGTCCAGCTCCAACGAGACCCTGTCCTGTGTCATCATCTTCGTCATTGTGTACTATGCCCTGATGGCTGGCGTGGTCTGGTTTGTGGTCCTTACCTATGCCTGGCACACCTCCTTCAAAGCCCTGGGCACCACCTACCAGCCTCTCTCCGGCAAGACCTCCTACTTCCACCTGCTCACCTGGTCACTCCCCTTTGTCCTCACTGTGGCAATCCTCGCTGTGGCCCAGGTACAGTAACTGGTCGGGGGCTGGAGACCAGAGTGGGGTGGGTTTGGGAGAAGGGCCCAGTGACCGACTGTCCCTCCCTCCCCTTCCTGCTGCAGGTGGACGGGGACTCCGTGAGCGGCATCTGTTTTGTTGGCTACAAGAACTACCGGTACCGTGCTGGCTTCGTGCTGGCCCCGATTGGCCTGGTGCTGATTGTGGGTGGCTACTTCCTCATCCGGGGTGAGTGAAGACCAGGCTGGGGCCAGAATGTGCTGAGCACCTAGTCTGTGCCAGTAGGAGCAAGCAGCTGCTGCCCTGCTGACGTCACCCCGAGAGCTCAGCTGGTTCGGTGCAAGGTGGCTTGGCGCAGTAGACGGTGATCCTTTAGGCAGATGGCACCATGACACCGCGGACAGCACCTTTGTGCTGCCCGGAAAATGTACCCTTCCTCCAGAGCCTTGACCAGGGTTCATGGCTCATTCAGAGGTGCTTGGGCTACAGGGTGTACATGTTTGATGAACACCTGAGTAACCCACCCCGTCCACATGGACCAACGTGGGCCTCTGGGCATGTGTGTGCACTGCGTCTTACATAAACTGCCCGTCTTTGGGAGCTTGGTCTCCATCTCATTCCTGTCCCCAACACAAACACAGTTTTCACAATAGGTGCAGATTCACCAGTCCCTACCTTCCCTGCCTCAGCCTGCCATCCCATGATAAGCCTCCGTATCGGTTGGGTCATCAGAAAAGTCATGTGTTTTTTTGTTTGTTTTTTTGGACAGATTTTCACTATAGGGCGCGTGCACTCGCCAGACAGCCAGAGAGAGACATAGAGACAGAAAGAGAGAAATCACCCTCCCCTGGGGGGATGGCCACACTGCAATCCCTTCTCCCCCATTCTCCTCTCAGGATCTTGAGCACGCACGTACACGCACCGGTGTGAATTTAAACCACCAGGACTCTGACTGCAGTTGACTACATGGAAGTCCAGCGACATAGCCATTACAACAACTGCTAGTCTCATGTCTTTTTCTTTTTTTAGAGTTTTTATAGAGCATGTGTGCTCACCAGAGAGACAAAGAGAGACAGACAGAAGGTGAGAAATCACCCCATAGGGGGGATGGCCACACCACAGTCCCTTCTCCTCCATTCTCCTCTTGGGATTTTGGGCACGTACGCACACATTCCTGGAGCAAGTTTTAAGCCACCAGCTCTGGGACTTGAACTGTGGTCAACTACTTAGGAGTCCAGTGATGTAACCATTATGCTGTCTGCTGGTCCTGTATTCTTCTGTTTTTCTATGCAAAAATGCATCATGACTTTTCCAATGACCCACTATTGAGCTCATTTCTATTGGGCTTTGTCAGCTCTAGCTTTCTCAGCCTGGCTGTCAGCCTTCTGTTTAGACCACCTCTTTCTCCCCTTTTTGACAGTATCTGGCCTCTGATTTCGGTTTGCTGTCTGTGCTGATCTGTGTGGTAGCCACTAGACAGGTGTATCCAAATTAGTCCAAACTGGGGTGCATTGTAAGTGTAAGACTTAGCACAAAACCAGCGTAAACTATCTCGTTAATAATGTATGTCAAGGGCTAAAAAAGAAGCAAAACATTTAAGGGGCACAGAAATGGAAAAGTCATCTGTTAATGACAATGCATATGCTAATGTCTTTGACTGGACCGATATACAGTGTATTCATGCTGGGGAAATCCATTTTGTGTACTGTAAAGATACAGGGTGATTGAATATTAAATATATATATATGTATATAATGGGGCCAGCTGGCGGTGTGGTGGTTAAGGCAGCTGGATCCCACATGACTGATTACACAGTTTGAATCCTGGACCCAGTGACTTGAGAAACACCAGGTGTGTGCGTGTGTACCCAAAATACTGAGAGGAGAATAGAGGAGAAGGGGTTGTGGCATGGGGAGTGGTTTCTCACTTTCTCTCTCAGTGTCTCCGATGAACAGGTGTGTGCCTATTGCAAATGAAAAAAAAAAATAAAATGTTACATGGATTGTTATATGTTGAAATGATTATATTTTATATGTATTAGGTTTATAAAATATGTTGAGACCCAGCCACAGTGACACATATACAGCACCACCACTTGGAAGGCTGGAAGCTGCATGGGAGGCCCAGGTTCTAGGCCAACCTGAACATGCTGTATGTGCCTGTAATCCCAGCTGATTGGGAGGCTGGAGCAGGAAGATAGCCACACAGTGAGATCCTGTCAGCAATACCCACCTCTGGGGCCAGCCCATGGCCTGGTGGTTGAGATGGCTGGATTCCACAGGGTTGACTACATGGTTTGAGTCCCAGACCTGTTGGACACATGTGTCTGAGTGTCTAGGATTCCGAGCAGGGCAGAAGACATGGAGGAGAAGGGATTACGGCATGACCATCCCCCATGAGGGTGTGTTTTCTTGCCTTTCCATTCTCTCTCTCTTTTTCCCTGTCTCTCATAAAGGTGGAAAAAAAAAAAACACAAATACATATACATGCTAAGTTCTCTAGTTTCTTTTTACTTTCTTTTACCTTTTTTTTTGGAGGAATTTTTTTTTTTTTTTGAGAGGTTTTCGCTATAGGGCGTGTGCACTCGCCAGACAGAGAGAGACATAGAGACAGAAAGCGAGAAATCACCCCCCCAGAGGGGATGGTCACACCACAATCCCTTCTCCTCCATTCTCCTCTCGGGATCTTGGGCACGCATGCACACGCGCCCGGCCTGAGTTTGAAGCCACCGGGTCTGGGACGCAAACCGCGGTCAACTACGTGGGAGTCCAATGACATAGCCATTACGCTAACTGCTGGTTCCCGGATTTTTGCTATCGGGTACATGCACTTGTTGGAGAGACAGAGAAAGAGAAAGTGAGGAGGGATGGCCATGCTGCCTTTCCGTTTCCTCCTGGGATTCTGGGCATGCATGCACATGTGCCTGGCATGAGTTTCAAGCTGCTGGGACATCAACCATGTGGAAGTCCAGTGCCCCAACCACTACGCTACCTGCTGGCCCCACTTTTTACTTTCTTAACATGGCTACTAGAATATTAGAGATTCTGTACATCGCTCTCATGACATTCCTATCAGACTGCGCTGTTCTAGAGTCTTTTCTGTCTTCAATCAGAGCAGCTTCATCCTGGCACCTTAACTAGGAGCAGCCAGGCTAGGACAGAGGATCCCTCTCTCTCCTCCCAATTATAGGCCCTGACCCGGTCATCCCAATCCCTGGCATATCTGCCACCAGCTGCCCTTCACTGCTCCAGTGCCTGCAGCTCCCAGCTGTAATCAGCACAGGCATGATTAACTCTGGGACTCGAGGGCCAGGGACCCTCCCCGACATCCCCGCCTCAGGAGAGTGGCCCCACCCCGCTCATGTCTCAGGTCCTCCTTCTGTTCAGGAGTCATGACTCTGTTCTCCATCAAGAGCAATCATCCCGGGCTGCTGAGTGAGAAGGCTGCCAGCAAGATCAACGAGACCATGCTGCGCCTGGGTGAGTAGTCCCCGGGACCTAGGTGTGGTCCTGGCCAGCTCAACACTGCACCTTCCCGGGGCTATGGGACCTGCAGGGTGCAGGTGCAGAAAGTCAGTGGGACAAGTTAGCAGCCATGAGGACAAGGGCGGGTATGTGTGTAGCTGAGAGTGGGGACAGCAACTCAAAAGAGGAACTTCCCAGGTGGATGAATTTGTGTTTGTGCCTCGGTCCACTCCCCCCCTCCCGCCACACACACACATGGGCTCCCACAGTTGCCTCAAGTGCCCTTCTTGCTTTATTTTGGGACTTGCAGTTCTCAGGCTGATCCTAGCCTGAATCCACCTCAGACGCAGCTACCTTTCAGGTCTAGCGGAGCAGACGCCTGCCCCAATGACAGCAGCACTCTCTGGGATTGATCACTCACATCCTGTCCTGCCCCTGTTCTCCACAGGCATTTTTGGCTTCCTGGCCTTTGGCTTTGTGCTCATCACCTTCAGCTGCCACTTCTACGACTTCTTCAATCAGGCCGAGTGGGAGCGCAGCTTCCGGGACTACGTGCTGTGAGTGAGGGCTGGGCTTGGAGGCAGCAGAGATGGGCGCTGTGTCGGGGCTGCCAGGCTGGGCGGCAGGGATCTGCCGGGTCGCTGCTTTGGGCAACACAGTAAACTGAGACCTCAATTGCCCTGTATTTTGCCAAACAGCCTTCAAGTGCCTGCTCGACTCTGCCCTTCCCTCTGCACCCCCTGACTTGCGGGCGTATCTGTCACCATTTAGGCTTTTCTTGTTTTTACATCTCCAGCTGGCTCTATGTCACACAGAAGCGCTGTCATTCTGTAATTCAGATCTCTAACTCTCCGGCGCATCCTGTAGATCCTCAGTGGGAGAGGTTTCCCCTCCGTGTTAGGAAAACAACCTGTTAATGTTGACTACTTCTGCCTGTGCTTTTTGTATCTCAAGGAGAGAGTAAGAAATGTCAGCTGCTGAACAACATGCAGTGCCTGTTAGCAGGACAGCAGTTGAAATGCCCATTAAAGTGAATTCGAGGGGCCAGCCAGTGGCGTCGTAGTGGAGGCCGTATCCCACATGGCCAACTGCACAGTTGAAAATCACACTGGGTGTGTGTGTATGCATGCCCAAAATCCAAGAGGAGAATGAAGGAGAAGGGAGGGTGGCATGGACACCCATCTCCCAGAAGGTGTTTCTCATTTTTTCTCTCTTTCTTTCTCTCTTCAGCAAGGACACATGCCTTATAGCAAATTTAAGGAAAAAAAAAAAATGTGGATTCCAGGGGCCTGCCGTGGTGGTGTGGCAGTAATCCAATGCTCTGTGGTGCTGAAGCCACATGGGAAGGTCACAGGTTCACATCCTAGGACCTTCCTGTACACATAGTTTCTGGCTGAGGCCGAGGGTAGACCATGGTATGAAGACCCTATTTGGGGATGCCTCTCCCTCTCTTGGTCATTTGGAAGAAATAAATAAAATGGGGGGGGGTGGTGGATACTATTGATAGTTTATGGCCTAACTACTTCAGGTTCTCCAAGGTTCCAGCTTCCAGTCTGGGAAAGTTTAAACCACAGTGCAGCCTAAGCCCCTACCCTAGAGATTTGATTTAATTGTCTGGGGTAGGGCCCAGACAGGAGTAGCTATTAAAAGCTCCCCAGGTGATCTTAATGAGCACCCACGGTTGAGAACCAGTGCTGTGGGGCTTAGCCCTTTGGCTTGTCTGGGTAACTACCCAGTAGCGCAGAAAGCCTCATCTGTCTACTGTCCCTCACCGTAGGTGCCAGGCCAATGTGACCATCGGGCTGCCCACCAAGAAGCCCATCCCCGACTGTGAGATCAAGAATCGGCCTAGCCTCCTGGTGGAGAAAATCAACCTGTTCGCCATGTTTGGAACCGGCATTGCCATGAGCACCTGGGTCTGGACCAAGGCCACGCTGCTCATCTGGAGGCGCACCTGGTGCAGGTGGGGTCCACAGCCAGCCCACCTGCCCACCAGCCTATAGGTTCTATTTTGTTTGTTTTAATTGTCAGAGAGACAAAAAGATAGTGTGAGAGAGAGTGGGCAGCTCCCACCGGACATGGCCACACCCCAATCCCTTCTCTTCCGTTTCTTCAGCCTCTCAGAGCCTTGCCTGTGCCACCCTTTGACAAGGTTTGAGGGGCAGCGCCTCTCCTCCACTTCCTGTCCCACCCTGTGTGCCCTCAGGTTGACTGGGCAGAGTGATGACGAGCCCAAGCGGATTAAGAAGAGCAAGATGATCGCCAAGGCCTTCTCCAAGCGGCGTGAGCTGCTGCAGAACCCTGGCCAGGAGCTCTCCTTCAGCCTGCACACCGTCTCCCACGACGGGCCTGTGGGTGAGCCTCGCCTCTGCTCTGTCCGAGCCACTGATGCCACGGGACTCCTACCCCTCTGCTCTCAGGCTGGGGTGGACTCAGCTGTTGGGAAGACAGGGATGAGGCATCCGTCCTCCCATTCACACACTCCTCCTCCGGTCTCTGCTGCTTCTGCCCACATCTGCTGGCTGCGGCTGTGGTTTCAGGAGGACCCCCGCCCCCCTCCTGTCTTCTCCAGTTACTCTTCCTGGGCTCAAGCAAGTTGAGGTTCCACAAACCAGATTTCTGGCCTCGAGTTAGCCCCTCTTCAGCTTCTGAATGGTAGACTCGCTGCAGTGTCAGGGCTGGGCTTCCTCTGCTAGGTGGAGTGGGAGGGACTAGGCGAGGGGGTGATGGTGCTGACTGAGGGTTGCCCACCTCGAGGGACTGGGAAGTCACCGTTCCTTCTCTCTTTCCATTCCTCAGCTGGTTTGGCCTTTGACCTCAATGAACCCTCAGCCGATGTCTCCTCTGCCTGGGCTCAGCATGTCACCAAAATGGTGGCCCGGAGAGGGGCCATCCTGCCCCAGGATGTGTCTGTCACTCCTGTGGCAACTCCAGGTATGAGGCTTCTGGCTTCTGCAGAAGGGTGGGAGGCACAGGGGCTGCGGTAACAGGTGCCACTGGAGGGGGAGGAAGGGGAGGCCCGGAGGATCTGAAGCATGAGGCCAGGGCACTAGAGTCTGGTGTGGGTCCTGAGTGGTGGACAAAGCTGGGGCCCCAGGCTTGCATCCTCTCCTGTCAGTGCCCCCCGAGGAACAAGCCAACCTGTGGCTGGTTGAGGCAGAGATCTCTCCAGAGCTGGAGAAGCGCCTGGGCCGGAAGAAGAAGCGGAGGAAGAGGAAGAAGGAGGTGTGCCCATTGGTGCCACCCCCTGAGCTCCAGCACGCCACCCCCGCCCCTGCCCGCAGTGCCGTTCCTCGGCTGCCTCAGCTGCCCCGGCAGAAATGCCTGGTGGCCACAGGCTCATGGGGAGCTGGGGACTCCTGCCGACAGGGAGCCTGGACCTTGATCTCCAACCCCTTCTGCCCAGAGCCCAGCCCCCTTCAGGATCCCTTCCTGCCCAGCGCCCCGGCCCCCACGGCCTGGGCTCAGGGCCGCCGACAGGGCCTGGGGCCCATTCACTCCCGCATCAACCTGATGGAGGCAGAGCTCATGGATGCAGACTCCGACTTCTGAGCTGCAGCTGGGCCTGGGCCAGGAAAGAGGAGCAGGGACCGTTCTGCACCTTCTCCTCGCCCTGAGTGTGCTTTCTGGGACCTCACCTTCCAGACAGCCTGGGGCAGGGGCCTGGGGAGAGTTCTGCCTTTGGCTCAGAGTAGCAGGACTGGGAAAGCCTGATGCCTCCTCAGGGGGCTGCCACCTGGGGCTGGGCTGGGGGCTCGGGGTCCTTGCTTCTGCGCCACCAACTGGAGTCTGACTGGAGACTCCAGCAGGGCCACGAGCATGAGGGCCTGCAGTGGGGCAGTAAAGGCGGAGGCGGGTGGACAGGATGCGGACAGACTGGTGGTGGGGAGGCAGCCACACCCGGGTCTGGCAGGTCAGGGCTGGCTGCCTTCTGTGCCTATGGGTGCCCTTTCCTGGCACTCTCAGAACCAAAAGTGTTTATTGTTTCATTGGCCCTTTGTCTAAGTGGGGACAGGGCTCCCTTCCGTCCTCTTGCAGGTGGTTGCTAGGCTGGCAGCGCCGACTCTCGGGGGGCCATAACTCTCCTAACAGGCGGCCCTACCCCAACCCATCGTCTGTCCTACACTGTCCTTCGCCCGCCCTCCAGTTTCAGTTCAGCCCGGCCAACCACTTCCGTTTCTTTTGCTGGTTAGGGCCCAGAGCTGAGGCTTACCCCAGCCTCCACCCCACCCTGAACTGAGCTCCATTTCCAGGTGAGAGATTGGGTCAGTTCAGAGCCTTGACCCAGCCCTGGATAGAAGCAGGGAGTGACAAAACAGTGAGTGACGGAGCTTCTGGGCCTCTGGGAAACGTATCTCGTCCTCATCTACAGCTGGGGGGATGGGTCCTCTGACTTGAGGGGCTACCCTGGGAAGCTGCTGCAGCTTCAGCCAGGCAGGAAAGTGTCCTTCAACTTCCACAGCCAGTGGGCGAGGAGATTCCCACTCTTGTAACCTCCACCCACATCCCCAAGGCCCCCACTTTCAAGAACCAGACAGCAGGAAGCCTTAGAAGCTGGCTGGGTTCCAGGCCGGGTGATAGGGATGGGGAGAGAGGTATAAACAATAAATAAAAAGATTTTTGTATAAACTCTTGGTGCATTTTATTCCTTAGGTCCTGTCCTCTCCCTTTCCTGTCAGTGTCTTCAGCGGAATAAGCCAAACTGTGGCTGGTTGAGGCAGAGATCTCTCCAGAACTAGAGAGTTCTAGTTCCCTGGTCCTGATCTCTTTTGCTTCCACATCCCCCTAAGTCGATTCTGAAAGGCTGGGAGCTCAGTGCTAACGAGGTCTCTACTGACAATGGCAGTCTGGCTTCACGTGCCAGCCTCCCTGGCCAGGAGGAACCAAAGCGCTTGGGTGACAGTAGCTGCCCCCCAGCACTGATGTCAGGATAATGCAGCTGGCCCTGAAGTGACGGTTGGAAGCAAGTGTCCCCCGATGGCCAGTATGGATGGGCTTTGCTCCTCATGGTAAGCCTGGGCCTCACCCCTGGTCTCTTGCCTCCTAGCAGGGATATGGGCGAGGCCAGCATTTTGTCCATGGCTTCTTCTGAGAGAAGCTTGTTAACCCCACTCCCGCCAAAATATGTCAGGGGAAGATTGGGACCTGGGACCGAACAGTCAGGGTTATGTGGAGACAGTATTCATGGAGGAAAGGGGATGGTGCCCACAGACCTGGAGGGTGTTCTGAGCATTAACCGGGCTGGTTTGGGGAGTACCCTTTTTTACTGCTGCTAGTGCTAGTGTGATGGGCATGCGAGTCATTTTTTTTTCCCCCCATAGGGGGCTTGGGAGCAGGAAAGTGAATGATCGCCCCTCAGGGGGGATGGCCACTCTAGAATCCCTTCTCCTTTATTCCCCTTTTGAGATTTTGGGTATGCACACACACACACAGTGGGTGTAATTTTCAAGCTGTTGGGACTCAACTGCACAGCCAGCCACGTGGGATCCAGCAGCCTTAACTTCCATGCCACCTACTGGCCCTATTTTCACCAGAGCCAGATTCAAGAGATTCAGGATGCTTTGCATGTGTATTTCTTTAATACTAGTTAACTCTAACTGAATGCTTGTCAGACCCTCTCCTAAGTAATTCTTGTGCATCGACTCGTTGGATCTCACAATGAATCCCCAAAATACTGAGGCATAGAAAGGTTGGCCACTTTGCCTGAGAACACCCTGGAAGTGGTGATGCTGGGCTTCGTTGAGGTCCCTCTGGCATGTGGTGACTCTTGGCCACTGTGCGTTATGGCCTCCAGCTTAATTCAGAGGGTAGCGATGATCCAATCATTTGGATCCAATCATTGGATTATTTAAGCTCAGTGAAGCAAAACATCTTGTTCTCAACCTCACAGCTAGTGACAGACAAGGGCCCAAGCTCCTTTTTAAAATTTTAAGTTTATTTTTACTTACTTCTTTCATGAGACAGAGAGACAGTACCCCTGACAGGGCCTTGCATAGTGGCAATCCTCCCCTCCCAGACACCCAGCCATCTGGGATCACAGACAAACTCTGAAGGACCCAGAGTGTTCAGGTCAGCCTGGGATCCAAACCCAGGCCTTTCAAGGGGCTCCCACTTCACACAGCGGTGCCCCACTGCCTGTTACAGCTGGACCAGGCTCTTTCCACTCTCAGTACTCATCTTTGATTCTGCTTCCTACCCAGACTTCCTGTGTTGCGTTCCCTCTGGCTGCCCCCTGGTTGCTCTATACTCCCTTGTTCTTCCTTGTCTTGCTCATAATTTTTTTTTGAGAGAGATTTTTGCTATAGGGCACTTGAGAGAGAGATAGAGAGACAGAAAGCAAGAAATCACTCCCCTGGGGAATGGCCACACCGCAATCCCTTCTCCATTCTCCTTTCAGGATTTTGGGCACGTACCCACACGTGCCCTGTGTGTTTCACACTGCCGAGTCTGGACTCAAGCTGTGGTCGGCCATGTGGGAGTCCACCTTACTCATTCTTAAAATTACTGTTTCTCTCAGTGGCATTATTGCAGCTTTTAAACCTTTATCAGTGACTATTTAAAAATAATAAAATTTAGTGTTTAATGTTCTTTTTAAAACCAGGGAGCATTGTGACTTTCTTTTCATCTCCGTAGATCTCTGACTACGATTTCTTCCCTCCCTCTTTGCCCTGTCTTTCTGTTTGCTATAGGGCGTGCCAGAGACAGAGAGGAAGAACATGAGGAGACACTCCCTAGGGGTATGCCACACTTCAATCTCTTCAGTCATTTCTCTGGATTTTGGGCATGCATGCACATGTGCCCAGCATGTTTTTCAACCTGCTAGGTCCAGGACTTGAACTGCAGTCAGCCATGTGAGATCCTGACACCCTAACTACATGCTATTGGCTGGTCCTAATCCTTTTTTCTTTAGTGGAATGACTTGTGTAAGGGATAGAGTATGGGATAAAGGGTAGTTCATTCTGGCCTTTAAAAAGCTGAGAAATGTTGAGACTAGCAGATGGCGTAATGGTTTTGTTGCTGGACTTCGACATAGGCGATCAAGGTTCAAGTCTCAAACCTGATGGCTTAAAACTGACATGGGCGGGGGGGCGGGGGGACATGGGAGGGACATGGTGGTTGGGGGTGCTGGACTCTCACATGGCTGACCACGGTTCAAGTCCTGGACCTGGTGGCTTGCTTTCTCACTTTCCTTCTCTCTCTCTCTGTCCCTCTCTAGTCGTGTTTAAACAAACAAACAAACAAATAAATAATTCTTTAAAAAAAAAAAAAAGAACTGACAGCAGGGAGGCTTGTGTGCCCAAGATGCCCAAGATCCAGAGAGGAGAATGGAGGAGAAAGTATTGCAGTGTGGCCATCCCCCGTGAGAGGTGATTTGTCACTTTCTGCCTTTCCCTATCTCTCCAGTGAGTCCACAAGCCCTATACCAAAAATATTTCAAGAAAAAGAAAAACAGAAATGTTCTGTTTGGCTGTGGTGGTGAGCAGAGACTGACCACTAGAGGGCAGTGTGAGCCCACCTTTTATAAATGCAGCCATTAGGCTGCTGCGGCTGGATGTCCAGGACCCTGGTCATCTTTGCAACCAAGAAATCTTGTAGTATTGTAATAGGAGAACAAGATCTCAGAACTGAGCAAGAGTGGCCACTCTTCTACCAGAACCTCCTTAATAAATCCTTGAAAAATCCCTCAAGTTCTAAGAGGAGCCCAGTTTGGGGAGGGGGGGCTCTCTGTTGTTGGTCTGCTGCCCCAAAACAGTCATGCATTCCCCTGGCAAGCAGGCTCTGCTCCACTGGGCCCCTGCCACTCTCTCAAACTCAGTTGTCCAGCTTCACAGGCTTGGGGCCCGCCTGTTAGTCTGCCTTCCTTAACGCAGTCTGTCCACCTCCCCAACCCTTTATCTGAGTTTTTGTTCCTTTGCTGATGATGGAAGTACGTGTGCATGAATGTGAGAGGGAGAGCAGAGCACCCACCCTGGACAGCATCTCGTCATGCCACAATCCCCTCCAACTTTTCAGGATTCTAGGAGCCTTTGTGCATGCCTGGTGTGTTTTTCAGGTTAACCAGGGGATTTGAACTCTCGGTGACCCCAGGACTTCTAATACTGCAGAGTACTAGTATTAACTGCTTCACACGTGGCTGGGCTGAATTGTTGTTTTCCCTCCCTCTATTCATGATAGAACACGTGCACAAGACAGTGGAAGAGAGTGGGGGACATTCTCTGTGGTCTGCTTGCACCATAATCCCCTTCCTCTAGTCCTCTTGGGCACTCTCACATGTGCCCTGCATATTTCGGGCTGACTGGGCTGGGGATTTGAACCATGGTTGCCATATGGGAACCCAGCTTCTCTTGAGCAGCACATTACCACTGTGCCATGGAGCTGGCCTTGAGTTTTGTTCCTCCACCCTGTGGGACCTTGGGCATTCACATGTGCATGCCCAGCGTGTTTCAGGCTGACCAGTCTGGGGATTTGAACTACAATCACCATATGGGATCCGGCTTCTCTTTGAACAGCACATTACTGCTGGCACCACAGAGACAGTGCCATTAGCAGTCTTGAAAGTTTTAGTCAGCCGACTGAGGTTCAAATCCCAGATCCGGTGGCTTGAAAATGATGCTGGACATGTGTGCGTGTGAGCCCAGAATCCCAGGAGGAGAATGGAGGAGAAGGGATTGTGGGTATGGCCATCCCCTCCTGGGGGGTGATTTCGCACTTTCTC